GCGGTTTCGGCGTGACGTATCTGGCCTGCGGGCTGGCAGTTTGACATGCCTGATATAGGAAGAGGCAGTGTGATCTTGATTCAAGTTAGCTGGTATTTAAATCTTGAGTACTATACAGAGTTATAAACCTATATTCTATGAAAGTTGTCTCAGTCAGAGTAAGTTTCTTCAGTTATAGCTGGCTGGTGTTTGAACAGTTTTGTAAGATGCTGTAGAATTAAGTGCTTAGGATTTGTGGACTATGCAATATTTTGCATCTGCACTTTTACTTGTAATCATACACAATTGTTCTAGCACCAAGGTTTATTGGCAGTATTAGAAATAGCATACACTTTTTTCCAGTAAAAAGTTAGATTCTGCATTGAGATAAACTAACCTCATTAACATTACCCAACTTACCTTGCATAACTGTGACTTTATTAATAATGGAAGGACAGTAGCTTCTATTCTAGCCTTTGAAAACCAGCAGATATTGGCTGCTTGTTTCGAGTGTCAGTTCACAACCAGAAGCAATAGAAATTGGCTTACTCATAAATGTCGACAGTTTGCACAGAAGTGCAAGGACAATTAGTGTAAACTCAGATTACTAATTCTGATTCTGAATTCTGCATGCTTTGGTTTGTCGTGTAGAATGGTTTGAGATGTAGACCTCCTTCTTCTTATCTCTCTTCTTCTGTCACTTCTCTCTGCAGGGAAAAGATCCCCCTCCACATCATAGGCCCTAGATACACAAAATTACGTGACTGGCACCATGGCGTTTCAGCACGTGTCCTTAACGTCCAATGATTTGCCAAGTCCTAGAATTTGAATGAGTCCTTTTCTTCCTCTTTCTCTTCCAAATGCTTTGCAAAGAAAGAAATGACAAACAAACAAACACAGCTTTGAGAAAGTCTAGCCTTTTATCTATCATTTTTTTCTTTAAAAAAGTTTCCTGTCAGTGTATTAAGAATGAGATGAACCTGTTCTGCTTCTGCAAAGCCAGCATCCTCGGTAAAAATCACCATGCAGACACAGGTGGCATAGAAAATTCATAATGACTTGAAAAAGGCAAAAGTAGGGTGCCTTTTCTGGCAGGGAACCTGGCTCTTATTTGAAAAAGGTGCTATGTGCTAAGAAATGGAGAAAGTTACAGAAATGCCTGCGTTGGAAAACATGCATAACAAACTATTTAAGCATCATTATGTACTTCCGATAAATAATGGTTCGATTCAGTAATATCAACATTTGTTTCTTGTGTTAGATATATTGTATGGCAGAATGTAAATGTTTTCAAAGAGGTAATGGAAGAAGAGGTTTTTTTTTATGTTAGTTAATGGGTCTTAGCAATAGTTGTGTTATACAGCTCATGTTCTACTTGAGGAAAATGTGTGTACATCTGAAGCCATGTGAAGTCTTCTGGATACAGATCAAAGTAAAAATTATATTGTAGAAGAGCCATGTAAAACAGCAAAAGAAAATAGTATGACTTAAATGAATATAGGTTTTATTTATTATGAAGTGGACTGTTTGGAGCTTCTTATCAATTTTGATCATGCATATTACTTTGTAATATAATGTATTATAGCAGATGCCTACTCATCTAATTTATGCTATGTGGAGCTCAAAACTACTGAATAAATATTGCATTTCATTTGCTTTCTCTTTTTTCTTTATATTCTTTCAAAGTTTGCACACGTAGGTATCATACATAAATTTACTTGAAAACATTACTGGAGAAGGAAGGGATAAGAAGGGACTGCTGGACAGTGAACTTAAAGAAACTATACATTTCCTCAGATCATTTTTTTTTTAACATTTAAAAGGAGCTCCCATCATGTTTACACAGGAACTCCAAGGACAAATGATTTGTTTATATTCATACGTATAACAAACTCAGATACAAGCTTTGAGGGGAAATGCTACAAACATGAACA